TTTTTATTCTTTAAGCTATATCGGTCTACAAAGATGGATAAATTCAATATAACTAGTGTTTTCTGTGTGAACTCTAGCCAAACATCAATGATGATGATGATGCCTCATTGGGAATTCGTCATCGGAAGCATTCCGGGGACTGGAATAACAACTCGGAGAGTTACTTGGTTAATAACCCTGAGCAATTTCTGAAATGTTCACCAATGCAGAAGGAGGTGATTATTTTTGAAGATCAAGATACATTTTAAATCTGTTAATGTGCTATTGTTTTCCAGAAAAGTGAAGACGTAGATGCGAGCTTGGCATTTGCAATGCGGAATAATTGCCTATCCGTCCAAGGAAATTTTCCGCGTGTTGGCGACTATTCCCGTGAATTTTTGAGCGTTGATCAAGCGACTGGGGTATGTGAACTGTCCAGAACTCCTCCACCGGTGACTGATGTTAAAATCTTCGTAAAGACTTCGCAAAATTTTACTTAATTTTTCATATTACGCCCCAGGTTTCGGATGAAGTGTCAGAAGTTGAAACGCCACCGAAGAAGCGTAGGAAAGCTCGGAAGTACAAGTTCTCCAAGCTTTTAGGGATGAATGCGATGGTGCCGACAACTCCTCCACCCAATTTGAATATTCCTTTTCGCAAACCATACTAGAAACAAGTGGATTATTAAAACCCGCGAAAATTGAAAAAAAAATAACAAACTAGCTTTTCAAAATTTTTCCCATTTTTTTTTTTTTAAGATAACGGTACCTTGTTGGGATATCTGTTACTCCCTCGGTCGCGGGGTTGTATGGGGATTTTTCATACCGTTTTGGATGGTATACGAGTACGTTGGGTTAAATGTATCATTTCGATAAAAATTTTGTTGAATACTCTTGGGAACGTGATCGCGTATGGCCTGAGTTGTCTCTTGGATCAAAATTTGGGTGCTGGAATATGAAGAAGCCTTACTTTTGCGTCGTGCTTTCCGACTTGACCCTTATTATTCAACCCGCCAAAAAAAACACTTGAATTGAAACTTTTCAAAGGCAGCTGCGGACAAATTGCGCATTCATTGTTTCCTTATACGCTCAGCCCAGCGATCATTGAACCAGCTTGAAAGCCAGTCATCTTCGTTCACATGGATTTTTGTGGATATTCGGAGCGGAAACTTCCTGGGTTACATGTTTGTGGCCTAGTAAGTTGCTGGCCAGCATTGAGACGCCACGAATTTGCAGAGTAAGCTACTTGTATATCCTTCCCTCGTTTTTTTGTTCGCTGGTGTCATTGACGATTTCGCCTGGTTCGCTTTCAGATGGAGTACGACAGATCCTGGATAGTGATCATGCTTTTGTGCGTGTTCGGTTATCCTGTTATGCAGGGAGACCCAGTGGGTTCCTTCATTGTGAGTACATAGTACTGTGGCACTTCAGAAGGATTTAGTGACCATTTCTCGATGAAAAGTGTGTTTTGAATAACCGTTCTTTTGGAGAGTCGGCTATCTGTAGTCTGTCTTCTACGGCGAAACCCCAAAATATGAAAACCCTGAAATACAGACGATTAGACTTATGGACACTTAGACTTGGAAAAATCTTCCCCAACATCCGGACAGTGACTAGATACGGACGGTTTTCCAAGATTTCTGAGAGAATTCAAAAAGTTCAATTTTCTAGATTTTTTATTTTGTGAAGAAACTGAGCTATTTATATTTAAAAATTCTAAAAACGAATTACATTATGGAATTATCCCAATTCATAATTAAATACAGGTTGATTTTGTGCTTATTTCTTCAGTTTTTTCCTTCATGTGTGTTCAGTATAGCAGCTCTTGGCTGCTTCTTGAGCTCCTTGTGATGCCAACATATCAGTTTCTGTGTGGTTTTCTTCTGTAAATTTATTTCCTGTTTCTTGAAATTGTGAAAACAAAATTATATACAACTTTTTCTTGATTATTCAATTACGGGAGAACTAATTAAAAATATCCCCATTGAAGTCTATGGGAAATGGGGTCTGACATGCAGACATTCCGACTTAGGGACAAGGTTCATGCACCGATTACATCCGCACCTCGGGGGTTTCCCCTTCAAGTTTTCCCCAGTCTTTCCATTTTCTCGTTATTTGCTGGCTGTGCTCAATATAAAATTTATGCTCTGTGCAAGGGCGGCACTAAATTTAGGGTTGACTGCATTGTATTGTTTTTGAAATTGTCATGTTGGTCGTATAAATTCAACTAGAACCTTAAAATCAAATAAGATTGAATAGAAAATTGATGGAGAATCAATACTGTACATTATTTCAAAATTGTTGCCTGAATTGTCAGGAGAAGTCACAGTTCAAAAATCGGTCTGCAGTAAACTTTTTTTTTCAAATTTCAAGCGTGTGTCGTTTTTTTTTTTAATGATACAAATAGCTGGACCCTGCTGGAGTTCTTGCAGAAATCCAGGCATCAAATGCGACACTAATGAAACTGTTCATGCACTGGGTTTTCGACGACGTCATTATTCCTCAACTGAAGAGATCTTTGCGCGCAGCGAACCTAACTCGAGTTAATCTTACCAGCATGTGAGTAATTTTTTTTCTTCGTTGATCTTGAGACGAAACAAAAATTTTAGTGCTTGGTCCGAAAGTATTCCTTTACACGAAGTGCCGTGGAAATGGGGAATGGAGTTGAAGGAAGCGACAGTGTGCAACATAGATGAGTTTGAGCGCGAGGACGATGTTCTGGTGAACATTGGCCAGTTCTTGCCGGAAATTCGTGCAACGGTTGAAGGAAAACTGCGTTATCATGATTTGAAAGTCATCCTCTCTTTCGAGGAGTCTGAATCTAACTTTTCGGAGTTGGAGTCCTTTGTTGCTACGGGCCGCATGAATGTTCTTGTTGGATTGAAGGTTAGTCCTTTTTTTTTTTTTTATATAATCTGTGTTCATTATTCACCAGAGTACCACGCGCATCTTTTTTTCTGCGAAATCATGGCAGGAAAGCGGGATGCGCGTGATTTTGGTGCAAGTATGCTTTTTTAAATAAAACAATCACAAATCCAATAGTCCGAACTGTAAGTGAGCCTCTGCGGTTACTTGAAAACTTTGAAAGGAACTTTCTGTTTGACTTCAGTCCTTTTCAAATGTTCTAGTGCATAATACACGTGGACTCTTTCTTAACAACGAAATGCAAGGGACCAGAACAAAATTGTTAAACAGGGAATTCTGTTGTAGAGAAACCCTCTAACACAAGGAGAGAACCCTTTGGGCCCAAAATAATTTTTTTTTTATCCAGACAAGATCATTGTAGAGTGAGTCCACCTGTATATACTTGAAGGATTATTTGGTTCAAAAGTATGATTTAGATATTTTAGAAGAAATTCAGTTTTTAAACAAAAAATGGCGGTTCGGGTTCGCGGTATGTGGGGATCCGCTTTTGGGTGAATTCCACACCAACTAACTCATAAGTGCGTCTTATTTGAGGACCTGTGGTACTTGAGTAAATACGTCAACTGAAATTAGTCATCGGGATGGAGGAAATCAATTGGACTGCCTCACCGCTTTGATCTTGACTCTTGGGTCCATCAGCAGTTCTCATTTCCGCCCTCTAAATCAGATTAAAATGAGAAATCATTTTCACTTCACTGCATCCTATTGTTTTCTGAGTTTCCTGGCTGGTATTTCTAGATTCTAGAGTGACAAATCAGGCCAGGAATAAAATGCATGACGTAACATATACAGTTGAGCACATATCCGCGATCAAAAAATTCATGGATGCGTCAATTTGAACGAACATTGGTAGGAAAATATTTGTAGTAACATTGAGGCGACACCTAGACGTTAAACGTCAAAAAGAAAATATTTGCAGTGACATCTGGATTTTACTGCACGCCGAGTACAGTAGAGGGAAACTCGAGGGACCATCATGAATTGGGTGGGTAATTTGAAGAATACATGTACTGTACTGACAACTTGGATAATGCTTTTAAATCTGGTGATGATGGACGAATCTTATTCATTTAACACTCTGATCGTGAAACTCTTGGTATGCGGAATTGGTATAGCAATTTAAAAAATGTGTGATGTTCATACCCAGATTGACGAGAAGGCCTCGAATGACGCTTGCACCTAATTTTCAAGACACAACGGATTTTGCGAGAGAGTTTGCGGAACTTATTATTATTATTTCAGGTGCGAGGTGAATTGTCCCTGATCCAGTTCGCAGATTTCGTTGACGGAAACCAGGTTGAAATTCCTGCTGGAAATGTTTTCTCACTCGAAAATGTAGAAATCAAAGAAATGCGACTCATGGGTGAACTAGTTCATTCATTTCGGAATTCATCCGAGGCGAGTGAAAAAAAAAAGTGTTAATTCTCTATGATAGCATTATGTGTGTAATGGTTGCGTTTCAGGTGATACAACATGTCGTCCATATCATCCAAGAACATATCATACAATCGATCACAAATCAATTTTCTGCTTCGTAGGCTTCATATCCGCGAACTTATTCATTATTTGCCCGGGGAGTGAGTAGTGAATAAAATAAGCATATTGAGTATCGCATTGTTTTCAAGGCTTCGTTAAAAATCTAATTTTACTGATCTCTTAGTACGTATGATGATCTGTATTTTAAATCTGACTGATTCAACCTGTTTCATTTTCATCCGATGTCGCTGAGTTAACTACATAATCAGTGAGATTTACAGCTTCAGGTTTTGTTATTCATTTATATTTTACCGTTGTTAGTCGATGATTTAATTTCATATCACGCACGAGTGTTGTTTACATTTTATCATCGAACTTGATAGTAGTTTGAATAGCTTTAGGTTGGTTTAAATCTAGATAAATTTTCTCTTGCGTCAAGTAACCTTTTTGAGTCGAGTTCGGTCGATTTTCTTTCTTGGTTAGCATTTCAGCCAGTTTAGGTTAGGTTTGCTTCGCTCTGGTTGAAGTAATTATCTTCTGTCGGATTCGAGACGCAGATGACTTTCATTTGACGTTCATTAATTCTGAGAGATCCGGTAAAACTGAGCGTTTACGTGAAGTAAAGTCGTTAATATTGTAAGAGATTAGTTGAATAATTATTTAATTCTGGATGATTTGAAATGCTGATCACGACCGGTTTCAAATGGGTTTTATTTTTTAAATGATAAAACGTTTATAAATAATGCTTCGCATATTTGAGTGAAAGAAATCTCCGAAGTCGTTGTGGACAATTTTTTTCCTGAACATGATCGTGCGACGCATGGCATTTCTCGTCGCTGGTTCAAATCAATTTTTTATCACGTGGTGGCAAACAAAACTGCGAGGAAGTCGGAGCGCCGCGATTCCGCAAGGGGGGGGGGGGTGAGTATTGTGCTAAAATTTGCAAAACTCCCGAGGTTGAGAGTGGCTCGTGAGCAGGTGCATCATCGGATTAAAGCACCGCGTCGATTCCAGAAGTGGTGGAAAGGAAGGTTGTACTGGAAGCAATGAAGATTTCTTTGGTTTTGACGAATCCGAAGTCGGTGGAATCACTGTTGCAAGCTGGTGATATAATTCAAGGTTACGTTCACGTGCAATTCGAAGATAATCCCAAGGCTGAAGGTGAATAACGTTTATTTCTTTAACCCATTTATTTTTCGCTATTGTTGTTTTCAAGTTGAAATTTTGCATTCAAACGTGATTCCGAACGATGCCGTTCGAATGATTGAATCAAGATATTTGGTTTTTTTTTAAACAAAAGAACTCGATTTTTACTCATTGTGAATTGTATGGATCATTTTAAACATTAGGTATGGACTTTTTTATACAATTCTGCACGAGCTGTTGAGTTTCAACATTAAAATCGGAAATTTCAATTCATGAACTGTACCGCGTTTAAAAGAAGCAGTTTTCGATGAAGAGAATCTCTGCGCGGTAGAAAAATAATTTTTTAAATACCAACAGAAAAGTTTAGATAATTACATATGAGTAAAAAAAGGTTTTGTTTGAGACCTCGTGATCTAAATTTATTTTGGTAAGAAAAATCCCCGTTTTCCTTGAAGATACTGTGGTTGTAAAAGATACTTTACAGAATTTATCAGTGTTTTTTAAAAGAAGTCTTATTAGTTGTAGGTGTTTCAACAATGTCTTTAAAACACATGGTGAATTTGAAAATGGTTTTGAATATTTTAAACTATTCTCAACTTTTATTGTACAGCTTGGGAATCATATTTAAGGCTTTTGGGACATGGGGGAGTAGGTTTCATCGTGTTCTAAATTTAGCAAAAGAAATCGCTCTGTTCCTGAAAATTCTAAAGAAAATACTCCTCCGTCTTTTTAGGACGTTTCTAAATTGCTAGAATACGTTGTTTCGAGAATTTTTTTTCTAAGAGGGTAAACTTGAAAATACAGTAGAGTTTAAAATATTTGATACCACTCCACTGTATTTCGCGACTTTATGAATATTTTTAGAATTGTATTTGCGGCTCTGTGGACACGGGGAATTGGGTTTCACCATCGAAGCTCCCGGAACAGCGAAAAGCGTAGCCGAGACTTACACAGGTCCCAATTTGATGGATCCAATGCTTCCTCCTGGAGTAGCTTACGCCACCAGAACCTCAACGAGGCGCCTTCATCGGCGCCAAACTTACGCGGATCATTCTTTTCATCTTTGGAGCAAAAGTCAGAATGGTGAGCGATTGTTGTGGTTCTGTGATGATTATGTTTGAATTTGCCTTCGGAAAATGTGAGGTCAAGAATAAATGACGGGAGAATCTCGGTAATTCGAACCTTTCGAAGTCGGAACACCTCACTACCGTATTTACTCAAGTACCACGTGCACCTTTTTTCTCGAACTTCAGAAGAAAAAAAAGGGGTGCGCGTCATAAGTGGGTACAAATTCTTCAAGAAGTTTTAGAAAGTTCTATGCGCATTATACTTAATCATAATGGAGAAATTCGGAAAAAAGTGTCAAGAAAACTTTTTTGTACTGAAAAAGTTGAAAATTGGTCAGATTTTTGTTAAATTCATGTCTAAAGTCAAATTTTTTGTTTCTATTTTCAAAATTTTGTGGTTTTAGATTTACTAAAAATTGGGGTGCAAGTCATACTCTTTGTACAGAAAAAGTTGAAAATTGGTCAGGTTTTGTTAAATTCATGTCTAAAGTCAAATTTTTTGTTTCTATTTTCAAAATTTTGTGATTTTAGATTTACTAAAAATTGGGGTGCAAGTACTACTCAGGAATAAGATTTTAGCCAAATTTCCAACTGAAAAAACCCTGTGCGTGCCTTACTTGAGGGTGCGTGGTACTTGAGTAAATACGGTATTTCAATTTTTTCGAGTCCGTCTGATTTCCCTTGGAATCAATGCGTTATACACTTCCCTAACTCAAACACCTGTAACTCGAATTTTCTGTAGGCCTTTTCGCTGTTATTTTATTGACGCAAGGAAGAAAAAAACTATAGAAATGTAACCTGATGCGTTTTTAAAGAAAATGAAACACTAATTGAGCAAATGAACCATTGCCTGCAAGCTCAGGATCCTTTCAACTCATTCAAGAGGCAATTTTAAGTCCCAGAACATCACAGGTAACAATTTTGTGTAATTCTAACTTCTTTCCCTGAACAAAAGTGCTTGTTTCCTCAACTTGTTCCCTTTCGAAATTCGACTTACAGAGGTTCCACTGTATCGATACATTGTTGAGAATCAGTGGCACGCGTTTGGAATTTAGTGAATTGCAGCGATTTGAATTGAATTTGCATAAGTATTTTCTGATCTATGAAAAGAAATCTGGAAAATAATGTTGATCCAGTAACGGTCTTTTTTACGTGGTCCCGTATAGTATTACTGTATAAATAATATGAAACGTGGTCATTGAACGATGTGGTCTCATTTTTTCGGCATGCCTTTTTGAATACTTAATCACATAAAAGTGATGCTGAGCTGAAGCATATTTTTTGCAGCTTTCTCAGATTAGATTCGAATGGAAGCCCGGGTAGTTTGTACCGAACAGAGCATAACTACGTTTGGAATGATTCAATTTTATCCTCTATTTCAGCTAGAGTAATTCAATTGACGCCGTTTGATGGAGCCTTTCCATTCATGATACAAACGCCGATTGAGCTTCCCCCGACACTGAAAACCATTTACGGAAAAATAAGCTACAGTTTGGAGGTCGTGATGAAGCGCCCAAATTACTACGACGTGAGCAATCGTACTGCTATTGTGATAGAAGCTCACGTGCCGATTCATCGTTCTTACGGACTAGTAAGTGCACTTCTCTCTGCAAATTTATTTTGCATTTCTTTGCCGAAATTATGCTGAGAAAATCAAGGTGCTTCTTATTTTTAATAGCATCTGAAATTTGTTGGTAAATCGATCCATTGCTTTTCATAAAAATATTTTCAAGGAAAAAAATTTTCAGATTAGGGATTTCTCATTTTGATTTTCAGTTCAAGGCCACAACGGTTGGCATACAGATTTATTTGTCGATTGCTGAATATGATGAAGCTCGTAACTGGAGTACTAGTAAAATAAAAAAGTGTTCTTTTCTGATTTGGAGAACAAAATTGATGAAATGTGTCTTGTTGCTTTTTATTTTCTATGGGGTTTGGAATTTGTTGGTAAATCGATCGATTGCTTCTCACCGAAAATATTCGTAAGAAGAAAATCTTCGAAGTAGCAATTTATCATTTTGATTTTCAATTGAAGGCCACGATAGTTTAAATGCAGATTTATGTGTTGAAGAAGATGGAGCTGGTAACTGGGATATGGTAGATCAGGTAGAATAAAATGTGCTATTTTTGTAATTTTAGAAAAAAATGATGAAATGTTTCTTATAATCTCAAGCAATTTTGGTAGAATAAAATGCGGTCTTATCGATTTTGAGAAAAAAATTGAAAAAATGCTTTTTTATCTCAAGCAATAATTATATATATTTTGTTTGAGTGGAGGTGCATTTTATAAGTGATGAACGCGTGTCTTTTTTTATTTTATTCAGAGTTGGTTCGATGTTAGTGAGACGTTGGATCTAGGAGACTGGCTCGGAACCCGAGAACAAGTTGAATTCGTGATCCGAATCCCTTCACGTTCATTTGTGATGGGAGAGAGCGTGGATTTGCTTTGCCGAGTGACGAACAATTCGAGGCATATGTTGACCAATGGCAAGGTTCTCCTGATACAGGTAAACCAAAGCAAAAATGGAAACTTTAAAGCTGAATACCCTACTGAAAAAAAAAATTAATTTCATTATGTTTTTCTGTGTCATATAGAAAGTCACGCATTTGGCGGACGGATTCAGAAAGGAGACGAATAATGTGCTGATCGAGGTGCGGTTTGTGGATGTGCCGTCCGGAGTCGAGAGTTACGAGTGGATACAACGCATTGTATTGCCGTCTGGAAATCCCCCGTCGTTTTCTAATCTGAAATTTTCGTTGATGGAGGTTGAGTATTACCTTGAGGTGCGTTTTCCCTTTCATGGATTGTCCTGGGGAATAAAGTGGAAGATTACCAGATTTCGAGGGATGTCAATTTATAGAGCTAGGAATTATCTGACATGGAAGGACAGACAAACGTGTGTGAGGTTTATTCGAAGCTTCTCTTACGGTATATTAATTATGCCTGTGAAATGTATCTCCGGATTTAAATGAGCTAACACCTGCAAGAAATACGAAATAAAAGCTTATATTGCATACAGATGAACCTCAATAACTCGAACCTCCCTTTCTCGAATATTTTTGAAGTCCCTGTTTGAATTCCCTTATGAACGATCCATTAGAAAGCCTCCCAGCTTTCCCCCCTGAACCTCCATAACTCGAATTTTCTGGAGGCCTTTTTAATTTTATTTCATTGAAGCAGGAAAGAGGAAATCACTGGAAATTTAACCTGATGCGTTTTCAAAGGAAGTGAAAGACTAATTGGACAAATGAACTGTTGCCTACGAGTTAAGGATCCTGTCAACTCATTAAAGAAGCAATTTATGGCCCAGAATGTAATCAATTACGATTTTCAGACATTCTTCTTTCTTTCCCTCAGCAAAAATATGTTTCTCTATCTTGAAACTTTTCTAACTAGATGTTCTTTGTTTTTCCTTCGAAGTTTGGCTTTAAAAGTTTTTCGTTTTTGAATAGTGTTTAGTTCAACCAGCTTAGACAAAAATACGTTTTCCTGATGAAAAATTTACTGCTGGCTTTCTTGTGTATATTTTTTAAGTTCCATGGGTCATCGAAAAATTCGCAAGCAATCATCAAGCTAGGTAATATTGTACTTTATTTTCTTCACTGTAATCATTCAAAAATTTTGAGAAAAGTTTCCGTATTTTTTCATATTTGTTTGCCGGCATTGTAAAGGAAAAAATCACGATTCCGATCGAAAGGCAGAATATAGCTTTCACGGAAAAAAAAGGGAACGTTCAAAATGTTCGGCTTCCGAATCCCTCTTGAGAATATTCACATGAAAGCATAATATTTCCTGAACATGTTTCGTTCATATACCCTGATCACTCTGAAGACGATCGATTAGGAAAGCAGCAAGATGAGTTAGATGAGATTGTGGTTAATTGAATCTGACGGCCCAAACTTCAATATGAAGAATAAAAAATTTTTTAATGTCGAAATACTCTTACTTTTTTTAACAGATATCAACAACACCGAAAGCCTTTTATGCTCCATTCGAGATCGTCATCCCGATCGAAATCGGCACAGTTCTAGTTGAGGAGAGACATGGGGTATCATCGCAACCCGGGCCCATGGATCCAGTAGAAGTCCCCGTCAGCATCCCTCCGCAAGACGGCCCCGAAATCCTGAGAAGTCGACCAAAAAAATCGCGGAAATCGAAGCGCGACGCGACGATTCAGATGACTTTGCTTGCCGAAATTCGAGCAGATTTTGGCAGTGAAAATTTGTTGATTCCTATACACGGTTTGGGTAGAGATAAACCGCCGTCGGCGGTTATTTTTCTGCAGAAAAGCGATTTTGGGGGAAGTTCGAGTGCATTGACAGGGCGGGATTTGTCGCGGAGTGGATACGCTTGGGCGGATTTGGATTTGCGAATGCGGTTGTCTGACGTAGTTGTGCCTTTCTTTCGTATGTTCCCTCCTACTATTTCCAAATACAATTAAAAGTCATATTTAACTTAAAATATCAATACTGTATGACTGAATAGACGCTTCTTCTTTAGAGCAGTGTCCCCAAACCCATTGTCCGCGGACTGGCGCCGGTTCGCAGAAGTTTGTTTGCTGGTCCGCGGAAAATTATCTCCAGCATGCTGCATTTTTCAAAAGTAGTAATGAAGGACGTGACAGTATTTTTAACTGAAATGTTGGCAAGACAATGGCAGTAAAAGTTTTCATGAAAAATAAATTAAGTCTTTTCTCCTATAATAACACTTCAGACAAATTTTCACTTGAATAATTTGTTTCAATTTTTCATTCTGAGAAACCTTCCTTCAATATCACTGTTCTATTTTTTAAAGACATTCCACTATAGCTGCTTCATTGGTTCCTAATGTAATTTTTGGACCCAAAAAGGTTTGGGGAACACTGAACTAGAGTGTTGGACTGATGAACCTCATCACTTTGATTAATTCGAAAACCACGAAAATTTCTATGCTTTCTGATAAAATAATTGTCAAAGTACTCCTGGAATTCCAGGCAGATTTTTTTGGATTGCTAACTTTGGCTGAAAAAAAAGAAAGAAATACCATAACAAAACCAACCTATATCAACTCTCTTTACAATAAAATTATCTCTATAACCTTTTTTTTGGGTCCCTTGAATTACGTTGAAGAGAACCCCTGTAACCTTGGAATAGAACCATGTGGGACCAGAAAATATTTTTACACAGAGTAATTTGTTGTAGACAATTTTTTTTAGAGTCCAGCTGTATTAACCCAGCATCAGAAGTTGTTACAAAATTTGAGGGACATCTGTGTTTTAATGAAGATAATTGCATAATTGGGGTTCTGGGGTGTAAATGTCATTCATGTAAACCTTTTGCATATGATCTCTAGATCTTGATATTCCTACTTCATAGTACTGTACATAAATACTGTACCCTTATTTTTGTTTTTCTCAGTCTGACTGTTGGCTTTTTAATATTACAGAACATGTTGAAGAATTGTGTTTCAAGAACAACATTTTGACCAATCCACTTCGAATCACGTAAGGGTATAGTTTGCCTGTATTATCCGAAGTACTGCGGGTCAGTTTCTCAGTTAATCCGTCTTCTTTGTTTCACCGGTGATTGAAATTAGTGAAGGTCTCATCAGTTTTTTTATTTAGTTTGTTTTGGTGCCATGGCAATGAATAAGATGAAGATAAGGGCTGTTCCTTTGGAAGAGTTCTCAGAGTTTGAGCGATTAGTTCACGAACTGTTGGACGACTTTGGAGACAGGAAACTTGTGCGTTTATTGCTTACTTTCTGGAACTTGAAAGGTGATACAGCAAAGTTTGACTTCATTTTGAGGTTTGTTTGCGCTGGTTCTTTTTTTTTTAGCCCCTGATTCATTGTCCTAATTGTTATTTCAAATTGTACTGACACGTGTTTCTGAATATAAGCTCAAGTTTCATTGTGGTCTCAGGCGTATCTCAAAAATATTTTGGAGTTCACGTTTTGATATTACCTGTTGCTCTCGCACATTTTGAAAATGCACATTCAACCCGCACTGTTCTTTAATGCGTGTGATATTTGCTGATGCTTGCTTGGAATTTTGTGCAAATTCTCTCTAAACACAATGTTTTTAGATTTTCTTGTGTGATTTTTTTGTTGCTGTTCCGAGATTTACTCTTCCAATTTTTTTTCTATTTTGTGTGCGTATTCATTTGATGCTTGCTCTTTCGTTCTTTTATATATGTCAAGGTTACTTCGGAATTGGGATGTGTCCGTCATATCATGTTCGAAATCTGAGGATAAGTCCACGTCACTCCGGAAAAATGCCAACTACTTCGCCGAAATCGGCCATTATGCCCAAGCCTTGCCCATGTACAATAAGTGTCTGGCATTTGCTCCTGCTGAAAGCCAGGAAATCCTTAGACTGGCGTACTTCAACCGAGCAGTCACTCTTTTCTTTCTGGGAAGATATCGCGAGTGTCTAGTAGACCTTGAAAGATGCTGTGCTCTCAAAGGAACGGAAGAAAGCGTATCCCACGTTTATTACTGGAAAGCGAAATGTCACATGATGCTTGAGAATTTCGATTTGGCTCGAAATAACGTGAGTTATTTTTAGGATCGCGATTTGTTTTTCCTTTGCAATTATTGAATTCGATTCATTCTAATATAGGCATTGCTTGCGAAGGAGTCCTCTATTCCCGCGAAAGAGCGAACAATTGACAACTTGCTCAGAAAAATTGAAAAAGCTTCGAGTTGTTCGCCAAGCGTTGAGCAAAAATATCCCGGGATATTGGAACAGCCTGACGGATCGCGTGGAGATTTGCAGAGGGCAAAACGTAGTGTCTGCGATTTGCAGGAAGTGCATGAGGTCATTCCGGAAATTTCCAGCAAATTGAAATTCTGCCGAAGTGCGGAAAGAGGACGCCATGTTGTGGCCGCGGAGAACTTGATGCCTGGTGAATACATTTTAAAAATCTTGGATTGTTTTAAATCTGTGGAGTTGGGGAGATATTCGCAACATTCGGGCGACCTCTAGTGTTCGGTGTCGGCAAAAGGAAAGGGACAATTCTAGGAATGAAGTCCTGTCTGAGAAATGGCTGAATATCTTTAAATTTCGAAGAATATCGATTGAAAATGAAGATACAATTTTAGAAAATAGGGAATGAATCACCCCGGGATTTAGCCCTAAAAAATTGTTGGCCCTTTCCGGGTAAACTTGTTTATTTGATATCAGGATTTTTCTTTCTTTCCTACTCTCCCGCCTTGCTTTGATTCGTATTTCTTGGATATTTTATCCGCTCATAATGTCGAAATTTCCAGTTTTTTTGTATCTTCTAGCGCGTGAATCATACCGTATATATCAATCTTTGAGCTTTACCTGCTACAAAAAATATGCTCATTCAAATTACCGACTGCTCTAATGGGTGTACTGTACATGTATTTATTTTCCTAGGTTTTAAGCTAAAAATTTTTGTTTCATGGAAAAACGTTTTTTTTACCGAATTTCTTTGAAATTCAGAGGGATTGCATTTTGGAAAAAACACGGGTTGATTTAAACTACAGACGAAGGAATGATTTCAGTTTCTTATGACATTTTGCATATGTTTGAAGATTTACTGTGAAACAATTGTTCGTGATATTCTCTGAGATAATCCTTTAATGTCTAATCATAGCTTTTTCCTTTACAGTTTCTCAAAATAGAGTCATTTATATCATTTTATGATCATACTGGATCCGGCATTACTTGAAGAATTGATTTCATTCTATTCACAGGTGAAGTGATATGCGTAGAAAAGCCAGTTGCTGCAACGCTGTCCCATTTATTTTGGGACACTCATTGCTTTCATTGCTACAAGTTGATCAGTGCTCCTGTACCATGTATGAACTGCTCTGCGGTATGTTACATTTTGAATTATTTTTTCATCTGCTTTGTAGTTTCTTGATTGGTTCTGGAATTTGCCTGAAAAGGATTACGTTGTGGATTTATTCAATGTACGGATTGACCCAGTAAATTTCAGTAACTATATGATGGACTTGAACCGAAATTCTGCCGAAAAGCCGAGATAATGTTGATTTTCTTAAAAGTTTCTTTCTGGGAAGCATCATTGAAAGAACGCTGGAATGAGTCCTTAAAAATTAAATGTTCTCAAAATTTGTGAATGCTAGCAATTAAAATTAAAATGTTGCTATCAAGTTTTCGGGATTTTCAAGAGGCGTGTGCTTTTTCATTTTCAAATTATGTTTTGTTCATTTAAAGTCCATAAAGTAAAAACAAAAAGTGGGTTTTTATTCGTGTAAAAATTGTATTTCCGTTATATTTGGCAGAAGGCGGGAAAAATATTCAATGACATTTGAGGTATTTGATACAATTATTGCGTATTATTCAAATTTAATGGAACATTACTGACCAGCTCATGGGAAAGCCATCTTTTAATTTTTCATCCTTTGAAATTATAGTGTGCTGTAATTAATCTCTGATTTTATTATGTTGGGAACACTTTTACACGAGCATGTCTTTCTTGGTGGTGAAGGTACTTTTTTCGGGCTTTCCAGGTTTTCTATTGCGACGAAGATTGCTTGAAAATGAACTGCGATACCCACGCTCGTGAATGCAAATTTATTGGCAACCTGGGAAGCACTCAGCTTGGCAATTTCGGATTTTTGCCGCTGAGAGCCGCGCTTCAAACTGACCACTTGGGAATGATTCTTTCACAACAAGGAAAGGAATTGTATGACGTGATTGAGAAATCGGGGGATAAAGAAGACAGCAGGACCTTGTTGGAAAGTTATCTTTCTTGTGAAGATGTCCATCCCTATTTTAGAATGTGCAGTTTGATCAAGCATGAGAAGGCTTGGGATTCGAGATCTTCTTTGTGGTCCGCGATGTTGGTTGCGTATTATATCAGACTGCTGGAGAAAACCGGGTTCTTTGCGAATAAATGAAAAGCAATTTTTTTTTAGACTCGGCCGTAACTGACTGACCTTTCAATTTCTTCGTCAATCGCAAAATTTCAAAGACAGTATATCGGAAAATGAAAATTATTCCACGAACGTGCGGATACAGAAAACAAAAAGCTGCTCGGGTGAAACGGTTATCTGTGAACGAACGAGGAATCCCAGAAGGCCTCCCGGAATGTTTTGGGCTCCGAAACTTTGCCTGTCAAGTTTTTGATATTTCTGACGCATTCCCGAATTGCCTGGAGACCATCTTTGATTTGAATCGCGGAGCGCAAACTTGCTCTGTGCCATTCGCGTTGAACCATCGGGAGAGCTGTAACAACTTGTGCGTGTTCTTTGGGCATCAACTGTGGGACCACGTTCCGCTTTGGTTTTGCTGAAATGATTACAGTATTTGCAAGAAACTTTGAAGAATCAAGAATTCTCAATTTCAAAGGGTTTCTCAAAAGCTTCTGATGATTGAAATAGAATCAGTGAGGTCAGATGAGGAGGGTCTAACGGCACTTATGCACCCGTTTACTGTTGATTCATGAACATAATTTCTTCCCATTTCCCACGGATGACGTACGAAAATTTAAAATTTTTGAATCTGTCGAAACGTGCTGAACGATTTTACTGAAAAGGATTACTGCGAGGTTGAAGGATCTTCGCCGAACAACGGAAGGATAAGAAAAAAAAACAAAAACTATGTTTATTATGACAGGTTTTATGAATTATTCGGTAGAGGAACCCATTCGTATGCGCTAAAGGTATTCTGCACTCACCTCTTTTGTAAGCACTCCAAAGTTGATTCGAGTCGGATATTTTTGATGAACCGGAGCGCTGAAGAAATACATTCAGCAAGTTGTGTTCTTTCAAGTGCGGGTTCAGGATTTCCAGTATCTTCATGTTGCCAGGGTCGAGAGGGAATCCTGAGCTCAGGTATTCTCCCATTGATTCAGCTGCCAGTTGTAATTCCTTCTTTTCTTCCCAGCTCGCGGGGAATTTCTTGAGCAATCCCACCACCTGAATCAGTTTCTTCTCGAACCGTTCAAATGAATCTTCAAGTTCTGGGAAGAAATTTTTCTTACGCTCACTTCTGACAATATTGAGTTGATTTCTCTCTCTACAGTAAATGACTGACCAGACCGAGAAAAAGAGACCAAGTGGAGGTTATGTTAGGCTTTAGAGCGTATTACGAAATACACTTCCATTGTCTGGTCCGGTGGTACAATTACTTTCAAAGGATCAGTCGCGTACCGAAGGAAACTGGGTCTTTGTTATTCAGTTTTTTTAGTCACACTAGATTTGGTCATTCACACTCTACTGAAACACAAATTCAATCTCTTCGTTTACCTTTCTTTAGCTTCCTCCCGGTTACGTGAACGTCATAATAGTAAGAATACGCATCTTCAAGCATAGCAACGTCACTTGTGCGTTTCTCTCTTCGTCTCAACAGCGTTTCCTGTTGCGAAGTAACGATTGCCTTCCTGAGCTTCTTGTTTTCTATCTCTTCTTCCATCTGAGCCAAAGCGCTCATGTTGAGGACAGTTTTGTAACTGATTGCTTCAACGGTATCGGTGGAGAATGCATCTCGTGGAGGTCCTTCGGGAAATGCGGATCTCCCGGCAGATTTCAGTCTCAGAAAGATCATGTCTTTCCAACTGTCTCCCTTCATAGCTTCCGACCACTCTTGCATGTCCTCTGATAAATAGAGGTTCTCGCGTTTGAGACCAGCCAAGCGTTGGAGCATGTATTTCGCTTTCAAGTAGAGCTTGGACGCATTGGAACTTGTGTCTACAGCGTCTTCTTCTTGTTGTTCTTCTGAACATTCCTCCTCTGGCTCTGCGTCACTGGCTTTGCAACTGCCCTGTTTTTCATTGGGTGGAAATTGTCTCCCGGTGTTGGTTGCGCAGCAGTCGATTTGCGTGTCGTCCGCTGATTTCGCAGTCGACGCCTTTTCATGATCAACAGACCCAGATGATGGTGTCTTGTGCATGGCTTTTGACTTCGGGCAATAGTATGGTGAACCCTTTGCTCCTGCGTCGGAACGTAGGAGTTCGTCCCAACTCATGATAGGATCTCTGAAGCCTTCACTGGTTGCGTCATCCGAGGTAGGTGATGATGAGGCCCGATTTTCACCGGCCACGGGTCGTATGAGTAGTATCTTGGGTTCCGAAGTGTGAGATTCCAGCGGAAGTTGGTCCGTGACGCGAGTGGAATCTAAAATATCAGGCGATGCTTTTTCGGTTGATTCAGAGTCCGCCTGAGTAATGCCGCTATCTCTCGCGATACGTTCCTCTGCGGATTGGTGGACTTGAATATTTTACCAAGGTCACGGTACAACAGTGATTTTTGTGTCCCCAGTTTACCGAGTTTGAGTCATTTCTCTCGGCGAGCAATGCGTATAGAACAAAGCTTTGCAGCCAATTATTACCACTGTTGGTTCTCCATGGAACATGATGCCATTAATGCGCGGAAGTATCTTCATGAAAATGATTGTTAGTGCATGTATTATTATTATGACTGGTTTATAATGCATTCCCACGATACGCAAATACAGTACACTACTCATACAACACTTGCACAAGGATACTTTTGGATCACTGTATTACAGCCCACTTGAGCCTAAAAAATTCGAACCTTCCTCTGTTGAATTCTTTTGTCCCTTTCGGAATTCCCTTACAAAGACTGCATTAAAACCTCCTTAACTGAAAGGCTTTCCTTGTCAAACCTCCATAATTATGTTTCCTGGAGGCCTTTTGGCTATAATTTCATTGATACAGGAAAGAGAAAAGCTTTAAAAATGTAACTCGAGGTTTTCTGAAATGAAGTAAAAGACTTATTGAGCAAATAAACTTTTGCTTCTTGCTCAGCATCCTGCCAACTCGTTTAATAATTCATTCAACTATTTAAGGCCCAGAGTATCATCAATTACGATTTCTTTTTAATATTCTTTCCTCCCAACTCCGATGTTTTTTCCCTTAATGGAAATTTCCTCAACTTGAATTTATTTTTCTGGTCCCTTCAAGTTGGGTTTAAAGAGGTGTGATTGTATTACCGGTACTCAAATTTATTAAACGGCAGTATATTTCTGAAATGCAGGGAAAATGTTGGGCATCATTTTTGGACAGAAACGTATTTATTCAGTTCTTGTTGGCAGACTGTTGAAAGTAAAAAATTTTATTGAGCTACCACTTTTCCTTGAAATCGAATCATACTTGACAAAAGTCAGTCAAAAATTGAAATTAGAAAATGATTCCACCCACCAATCTTGGAATTTAAAATTAAAGTATATGTTGTAATGAAATAGCTGACGATTTGCAGAAAATTCGTTACTCATCTTTGTACTGTATTGGTCGGTTTTTTCATGGAATTACAGTACTTATGTATTCTCAATTACCACGTTTGATGCACTGGTCATAACATCTGTATAACTCATGCCATGCAACTGGTCAACATTCAAAATACTGTACTGTGGCATTAAATGGATTAAAATGTGTTTTATTTCTAAAAAAAAATACATGTCCAGTACTGTACTTGAATGGTAGAAGGCGCTTCAAAAACCAGCACTCAGGAAGTGCAATATCAATTCCATTCTTGTGCTGGAAAATGTGGCACAGTGCAATGTGATAGTACAGTTCAGTATACAAATAAAATAATACAGCTGCAAGATTTTTTTTCAATTAGAGCGTATTTCAAGTTAACCCCTGCAAATTAAAATTACCGTCTGGCGAAATATTGAGTGCCGTCAATGCGTTCTCAGCAAGAACGCAGTGTGACACCGAAATTAGTGATGCAGCCGTGCATTTAGCCCGCCCTTCTTGTTTCTCCGCGCACATGCTATCGTCCCTTCGCGCATTTGATTCATCATCCATATCTGTGAATGAGTGTTCTTCCTTGTCCTTCATTGGGCGAAAGTTGCTCCATAACCCGCGAAACAGTTTCACGGAATTCCCCGTGTCTCCGGTCAGAAGCAGCGATTGCAGATCATCATTGCTGGCTTGATGATCGACACCACCAACCGTCTTTTCCTCGCCATTCGAACTTCCGGGGCGAGAGTCTTCCCTGTGATGGCCATTATCTCTGTCTTCTTGGCCCGCGGTTGCCGAGTAAGCCGTGATATTTTTAGTGGCGTAACCTGCTTGTGTGTCGCGGGTGACTGCGTTCGTGGAGTGCTCCGATTTCGTTTTCTCCGAGGCATTGCATGTGCTGGGGTCGTGGCTCTCCGTGAGCTCTTCTGCGCAAAATCAAACCAAGATTATCAAGAATGGTTGACCAATGAGTCTCGCGCAGATTCTTAATCGAAAGGCATGAAGGTGTTGCGCACTTTACGTGAGGGACAGTCACAGTTCATCGTGAGCTCTTCTGCGCAAAATCAAACCAAGATTATCAAGAATGGTTGACCAATGAGTCTCGCGCAGATTCTTAATCGAAAGGCATGAAGGTGTTGCGCACTTTACGTGAGGGACAGTCACAGTTCATTCTCCTAGCATGAAAATTTGGGTGCGGAATAACCTTGGGAGATATTTGAAGGTAATACTGTACTGTGGTGTGACGAAACGGTGCGGGCTTCATTTGGAATCGCTTGTATGGTCATTTCGATTGAGTGAGTGAAAGTGATATGTTGTGCGACAAATCAATAGGTCTTGATACAGCAAGTTCAATACAGTCGAACTTCGAGCTCCCAGCACAACAAAAAAATCGATTCATAGAGGTTTCGAGTTAGAAAAATATGCATCTGTTTCGGAGGAAAGAAAGACTTACGTGGAATTCTAATTGGTTATATTCTGGGCCTTCTATTACTTGAGTGAGTTGACAGGATGCTGAACTTGGAGGCAAGAGTTTAAATACCCTATGAGTCTTTCATTTTCTTTAAGAACCCATTGTTACATTTTATTTATTTTCCTCATTTTTGTGTCAATAAAATAATAACCGGAAGGTCTCCAGAGGCAGGAATTAAAGAAAAGGACTTGAGTTCAGTCATCGAGGCTCTTTTGTATAATCGTAATTGGATCGTGTCCGGCATTTTATTGTGCTGCCATATTTACTCCACAAGCGCACAGGCCAAATATGCCCGTAGCCCGCACCCAGATTTTCGAGCCATAGTTTCGAGGAAAATGAACAAGCTGCATCAAGTTTTGACACATTCCAAGGAAAAGCAGAACTTCTGTGAAAGATGTGATACCGTTTTCTTTTTAAAGTATAGACTAAAACCGCTCCAGAAAACTAAAAACCTGATTAAAAAGCACGGCGTTTACAATCCTTTCGCGTGAATACTTCAGCATTTTGATTCGATCAGTTGTGTACGTTGTGTTCGAAAATTCGTTCCCGTTCAACGAATTCGGATTGTAGTTGAAAAATTCTAGAGCTCAACGTAGAAAAACATTTCGCGTAATCCGGCGTCTGTGTGTGTGCTTTTCGCCGTCTGACTCACGTTTATATTCCAGCTTGGAGTGTTTTTTCAGTGCGTCCGTGATATCTTCCCAGTCGCTGAACTCATCTGGCTCATTCGGATTGAGCGCTCGGTGCCCAGAAAATCGCTGAGATTTTTTCCCGGGGCAACCACCGCCTCTGCGTCTTTGAAACACCCGCGACTTGAGCGAGATCTTCATTTTTTGTTCCGGGCCATGGGTTGGCAACGATTCGTGACTTGCGCATTCCATACTTTTTTTTCTTCTTCTCTGAATCAGTGATGCCCGTGGAAGGTGAATTTAGTGATGTGTCCTTTACCGGTGGAAAAAAATTTCGTTTGGAGTGCAATTTTGTGGATTGACTTTCAGTGTGCCTGAACGTATTTTCTTCGTGTTGTTGACTCGTCTGCTGGGAAATCGGACCAGCTTTGATCCCGTGATTTGTGTTTCTTCAGTAATTCTACTGACCAGTGAGCCTTGGCGTTGGAAAATTCTCCTTGCGGTTACGATTTTGAAAATTATAAGAGGATTATCGATGCGACATTTTCAGTTTCTCAATCGATGCATAGAATTTTAGTCGGAATGACGAACCAGTGAAAAGCTTATGTAATTGAGCTGGCGTATTCCTGTGGCAATCTTATCTTGAAGATGAAATTAGATTTACCAAGATGTCATTCCGCGCAGTATTTTTCAGATCACATATACTTCTGATGCTTAGAGATAAAACAGCTGAAAATTGTACTGTACTCTGGTTTTCAATTTTAATCCTTCACAGCATGAACAAATGAAGCTTCTTCGGGGCTTCAATAAATTTGGCTGAAATGGACTCGGGGGGGGGGGGGGGGTATTTTTTATACCCATTAAAAGTTGACGTGTACTCGCGCTTCCGTGTTGACTAAAACCGGAGAATTGAAACAAATTTGAAAAATTATGATCAACTTTTGCACGGGTGAAATTTCCGGAATGATGAAGGTTTGGAAGATGCGAAATATAATACTGTACTGTACATGAAATCATTCATTTTATGCAAGAGCTGGAAAAATTGTATAGGGAATTAATATTTTATTCCGAAACATATTCTTCTCTACTTTAAAAAAGTCCGAACAAGGTTTTATTTTTGAAATACCGTAAGACAAAAATTCCCTTCTTAATTTCTTAAATGAGCAGCTTTTCGCCTCGAGAAAATTAATTCATGATTCAATTTTTGAGGCATGACGCGTGAATTTGAGTCGGTAAAGCGAATTAGAATTCTTCACAACAGATTAGATCGGTTTCCCCCGGGAACCGAGTCCCAATTTTATCCTGGTTTTTTCGGATGAATGTATGCATGATTGACGTGTGTTTTTTCAGTCGTGTCACATCCTTCCCCGGATGACAGTTCGAAGCTAAGCTTGGAAAACGATTAGCGTCCTCTCCCGGAAAATAGCTTAATTATTTTCACTGCGCCTGGCGTCTTCTAACGAGCCAACAGTCGGCGAATGTAATGAGCAGAGCGAGTGGAGCGATGAAAGAGTGTTATCTTGACGAAACGATGGGTCTTGTATCGGGGCTGTGTGTGCCGAGAATTTTTCAAAAGTTTTGACAATCTTCTCGGTCTTAAATTATCTTTGGTTTCTCTGGAATTTTTTTTATAAGTTGAAGTCCTTCAAATTTTTGGAGAAGTCCGTGTTTAATTGCTGTCCTGCCAAGCGTTTTCACTTTCGCAGGCAGCATTATACTGAAGTGAGAATTACAGAGATCAGAATGTTGTAATATTATAATTCTAACATGATTTTCGGATATAGAGGAATGATCATTACGGACATTTTAGAATAATTTCAATAACAGCGGGGCCACGAGATGAGGACGTACTGTAATTACCTCTTGTCCATGTGTCAGTTCATTTGCATGTGGATCCCATTTTCCCATAGATTTAATCGGGAACATGTGTAATCCCTTCTTCTGTTTGTTGAACGAATCGGAAAAATTTCTCTGAAGCATTGAAAGAAATTTTTTTTCGTAACTTCGAAATGCAGAAAATAACTGTTGAAGAAAACCACGCAGAATCTGTCAACTTTTCATAGTAAGAAGTCAAAAGCAAAAAATGGGCTTCTTGCATTATTGTACTGCACACAGTCATGAAAAAGCCCTAAAAAGATGAGTTTTCTACAAAGTTAGTCTTTTTTATTAGGAGTTAAGAGTACAGTATATTTAGAATTATCTATAAAGTATTTTGAATTTATGCAAACAGAAATGCTGTTCGTTAGCAATTTCAAGATAATCTAAATTAGTGAAAAATAAAATGTTCCCATTTTTCTGGAAATTTTGGCCGTGTTCGTATCAAAAGACATTATCCGTGTTTTGGGGCTGATTTTTTGAGTTCATGCTGTTCCACAGTCACATATTTGCTTTTTGGGACATTTTTGTTTTGTGACCCCGCCGTAGTTGGTGGTACAGTAAAATACAGTAATTAGGCTCCTTGTTAATTCAAAAGAGATGCAAGTAAACTTTTCAATATCCTCTCAGTAATCAAGTGCATTTTCAGGTCCAGTTATCTTTCAATTTTGGACCTTCGTGCTCAAGATTTGCAGCAGTGGTCAGGAAATCGTCGAACAAAATTTTCCAATACAAATGTTGCATATTCAGTCTACGTTACTGTACGCGAAAAAACTAAATTTATAGATAGGCAAAATTCATGCACCTACTGTACCAACTTACAATTCACGTCGGGCGTTTTGGATTTCTACGCCAGACGTGTGCTTTGCGAATTTGTTTGCTTTCTCTGGTTGGTCTTCGCGATTTGAATTTTATTTATTTGGTCTGTGTTCCGCGTCGTTGGTTTGTTTGCTTCCGGATAAAACCCCACGTCGAAGTGTTCCGGAAGGACGGGTTTCATATATCGAGGTCGAATCGGGTTCCGGTCCGCGTTTCCTGAAATACAGTACTGTACATACTGTACCGTATTTCTTGGAATTATGTCTTTATTTAATCTCGTTTGAAGTGTGCGTGAAAGTGGAAACGATCGTGGGAAAGGTGAGTTGAAATGTTTTAGCATTTTTGAGCCGGATTTACCCCGGGGACATCGTGGATCCAATTGCAGTACTTCATTGTATTTAAAATAGGCAGTACTGTACTTATTTTGTTGCTGGGCTTTTTGAAAGAGCTCACGGCATATTTCTGCAGTTTCGAAGGATTCCGTTGTATTGTTAGAAGGGTTCTTCTAAAAATTTGGAGAGTTTGAACCATATTCAGTATACAGTACCAAATTCACTCTATAGTTCATAGTTTGATGCATCGCAAAATGTGATGTTGTATTGCAGATGAATTTAAAAATTCAAAATGATGCTCCACCCTTTCAAAAATTCCATCAGGCTATGCTTGTGATTCAGTGCATTGCTCTGAATTAAATTTGGACCTTTTCATTTTTAGGGGAGATTTGGAATCTCAAAAATTATTGTTAATTTTGGCCTTCCTGTACTCCCTGCCTCAGCAATGTGGCCCTTGGCCAAAAATAAATTTTCAGTACCGTATTGATGTAACCCTTGTATGTCTGAGTTGGGCAGCACTGTGGTAGGTGTTAGCAATGTGTGTAAGCAAGATGAATTTACTCATGAGGAAATCAACCCATGTTGTTGTTTCTTGTTGTGAATAATTATTTTGTAGACCCATTTTTCTTCTGCACCCTCTTCAACCATTCCACAAGATATGGTGAATCATAAGACTGTTACCTGGAATGGTTCTAGGGGTGGGTCCATAAAACCCTTGGTGGATAGTCCCGCCAAATGCCCCCCACTAATCAAATGGGTTTGTAAGTAAGACAATAATAATCTAATTTTTACATTCACAGTACAATATATACAAATTGCCGAGCTTGTTTTTGATATTTGATGGGATGGGTTTCCATTATTTTTCTGCAATCCTGTGCATCCCATGAATAGTACTGTACTGCTCAGTACATACAATTGGGCTGCCAGAATCAAGTTCATGGATGTTTAAAAGTGTCGCAGCCGCATTATTATTATTTTTTTGTTAGACACCCCACGACCTACGTCATTGCTTCCATGAATCATTAATACGCCACCTTGAATTGATCGAATCAACTTACTGCGACGCTGACCCGGATTTACAGTTTACAGTCAACCTATGATTTAGTGCCACCCTTGCATGGTGCCACAAATTTCCCTGGAACAAATCCCCCACTCCTGTGTCCTTGAGGGAAGCCTCGGTTTATTCCCAGGCCACTTACTGCCATGAACTTTTCCTTGTCATGGATGAAAAATGGGCCAAAGTCGAAGGAATTAGTGGCATTTTCTGAGGATGACAATGGGCTATAATTGAGAAGCAGATCCCAATGTTCACATAGAAATGCAAGAAAATTTGAAAATTATATTTTTGAATTTAAAATGTTAAAAAATATATTTGTTGCTGCATAACATCTTCCATCATTGAAAGTAAAAAAGTGGAAGCTTTTCTGGAATCATTGTTGATTTTTATGTGATGGCGCATGATGTGAAATTCAAATGCAAACAAATCATTCCACATCATTCCAAGATTCAATATGTGAAAATATACCATATTTACTCATGTACCACATGCACCTCTTTTTCTCAAGTAAGAGAGGACAAGTTGGGTGAGCGCCATACTTGGGTATATACAGTATTTTCTAAACTTTTTAGAAGTTTAGGTGAGCATTATACTTGATTCTAGTAGGAAATTTTGAATGAACTTCAACATGAAACCCACTTTCAAAAAAATGAATGATAGTTTGTATAATTCATGTCTACATTCAAATTTGGGTGCTTATATACTTGAAATATTATGGTTTTACAGTCTCTAAAAATGGGGTGAGTATCTTTCTTGGGGGAAAGAATTCTATCAAAATTTTAAACTGGAAAACCCCAGTGTGTGTGTTACTTGAGGGCAAATGGTACTTCAGTAAATACAGTACTTGTACAGTATTATGTTATATAGTACTAAATATTTTTAAATACAGTATTAAAAGCATTACATTTGAGCTTCAAATCATTTCTTGCGGTTTCCTCTCTCACAAAACAGAATAAGTGGCCTTACAATTCTTTGAAGAAGCTTATTTTACCTACATCTGAAACCCTATTCTAGATCTTCCTCTGTTACAATAACCCTTGCTTAGTGCCACAAAATGTGCCAAGGCAAAGGGTGGCGCTGAATGAAGGGTTGACTGTAGTTCACCAAACAGCCATACTTGTTGTTCTTCGTGAGTAATTCACTGGGTTGCCAACATGTTTCTCTGCACAATATTCTACCATATGCATCACTCGCACAGTATTCTACAGTACGTTCGAGTCAGTCAGTCAGTCAGTCATACTTCATGAATATTTAAAGCATGCATGCATGCATGTATGTCCGTGCATGCTAGCTGCCTCGGCATTTTTCCTTCTTTTTTTGTTGTTGTTGCGTAATTAATAGCCGT